GAGAGAGAGAGAGAGAGAGAGAGAGAGAGAGAGAGAGAAGAGGGAAGAAGTGGGGAAAGACAGAAGCTGCTTCTTTCAGAGGAAGATGGAGAAGACAGACTAAGGCTGCAAGCAGGGAGCTAGTCGGTGTGGCTTGTCTCTTAAAGAAACAGAACAACAATTACAGCTAGGACTAAAGGCATGCACCACCACCACCAGGCAATCTCTTAATATGCTGATTAGAGGTCTCCTTGTGATTGTCATGATGTGAACCAGCCTCTGCATGATGACTCTCCTCTATTTACACAAGAGAACCAGCATCTCCACACCTCAAGCCTCTCCTCTCCTAAGTCTCCTACATACAAGTCATGCCCAGCACCTTGCTGCTGTGTTCTTTTAATGATTGAACAACTTTGTCACTATTTATTGATTTTACACACCTGAGAAAAATCCGAGATTGTAGAGATTAGTACCAATTTTAATGACACTCACAGAAGTTTTGAAATAGAATTGAACCAGATCCATCCACTGATAAATGGATAAAAGACCATGTAGTACATTTACACAGTATAATATGACCTAACTGGGAAGGAAGGAGGAAGGGAGGGAAGGAGGAAGGGAGGAAGGGATAAAGGGAGGAAAGAAGAGAAGTGAAAATGAAAATAATTTGCATGCAAATGGATGGAAATAGAGAACACTATCCTGAGTGAGGCAACCCAGACCCAAAAAGATGAATATGGTATGTACTCACTCATTAGTGGATTCGAGCCATAAATAAAGGACATTGAGCATATAATTCATGATCCTAGAGAAGCTAAATAGGAAGATGAACCCCCCAAAAAAAACATGTAGTTATCCTCCTGGATATTGGAAGTATACAAGATATCTAGGCAAAAATTTAGAGCTTGGGGGTGGTGGTGTGACAGGGATAAGAAGAGATGGAGAGAGAGAAGTGAGAAGGGGAGGATGGGGAGAGCTTGGGGGAATGGGACAGCTGGGATGGAGAAGGAGTGGATATGGGAGCAGGGAAGTAGATACCTTAATTAAGGGGGCCATTTGAGGGTTGGCAAGAGACTGGACTCTAGAGGGGTTCCAAGTGTCCAAGGAGATGTCCCCAGCTTGTTCCTTGAGCAACTGAGGAGAGGGTGCCTGAACTGGCCCTATACTATAGCCACACTGATGAATATCTTACATATCACCATAGGACTTTCATCTGGCGATGGATGGAGATAGAGACAGAGACCCACATTGGAGCACCGGACTGAGCTCCCAAGGTCCAAATGGGGAGCAGAAGGAGAAAGAACATGGTCAAGGAAGTCAGGGCCGCGAGGGTTGTGCCCACCCACTGTGACGTGGGACCCATCTAATGGGAACTCACCAAAGCCAGCTGGACTGGGACTGACGGAGCATGTGATCAAACTGGACTCTGAATGTGGCGGATACTGAGGGCTGATGAGAAACCAAGGACAATGGCATGGGGTTTTGATCCTACTTCAAGTTCTGGCTTTGTGGGAGCCTAACAAGTTTGGATGTTCACCTTACTAGACCTGGATGGAGCAGGGAGGACCTTGGATTTTCCATGGGGCAGGGAACCCTGACTGCTCTTCGGACTGGAGAGGGAGGAGGACAAAATTGGGGCAGGAGGAGAGGGGCAGGAGGAGGGGGAGGGAAATGGGAGGCT